GGTCTGAGATCCAGGCAGGGCTGAGGCTGGGGTCTGAGATCCAGGCAGGGCTGAGGCTGAAAGTCTGAGATCCAGGCCAGAGCTGAGCCCAGGCAGTGGCTGAGGCCACGCAGGGCCGAGGCTGGTTCCTGCTGAGGCCTCTCTCCTGGGCGTCTTCTGTCCCTGTGTCCTCACATCGTTATGTGGTCGTCCCTCCCTGTGTGTCTGTGTCCTGACCTCCTGTTCTTTTTTGTTTTAATTTTTTTAATGTTTATTCATTTTTGACAGAGAGACAGAGCATGAGAGGGGGAGGGGCAGAGAGAGAGGGAGACACAGAATCCAAAGCAGGTGCTCCAGGCTCCGAGCTGTCAGCACAGAGCCTGACTTGGGGCTCGAACTCACAAGCCGTGAGATCCTGACCTGAGCCGAAGTCGGACGTTGGACCCCTTGAGCCCCACAGGTGCCCCTCCCCCGGCCTCCTATTCTTATGAGGACACCCATCCTATGGGATCAGGACCCACCCTATGAGCGTCATTGTGCCTGGACCCCCTCCTTAAAGACCCCACTGTGAGCACAACGGCATTCTGAGGTCCTGGGGTCACGGCATCTGCCTACAGATTCTGGGCTGATACAATGCCGCCCATAACAGGGACCAGTCAATCCAGAGAAAAGCTGGCCCTAAGAAACGTGAACCGTGCCCCACGGGTGTCCCACGGGAGAGGCACCGGGGAGCAGGTGCCCGTGCACCCACACCCCCTCCTTCTGTCCCCCCGCCCCGTGGACATCCCCCCTTCCCCCCGGAGAGAGGCTCACCAGGGCTCCCCTGCGAAGCAGAAACCCGGGGGCTGCGTCTCTGTCCCCTGCGGGATCATCCCGGGGAGGAGGGAGGTTGTGCGTTCGACTATTGGGCCCCTCGTCCCTGGGACAGCTTCTGGGGAAGCCACGTGCGCACCTGTTCCCTTGGAGGGGGTGCCACGAGGAAGCACTTTCTGGTGGCGGCCAGAGCAGCCTGTTTTCATCGCACAGAAAACCCGGAGGTTTCACGCCTGCTTGGAAAGCACCCCCGTGACCGCGGGGGCCAGGCCCCTAGCGCAGGCGGCCGGGGAGCAGGGGCTCAGAGCCCCGCCTCTGTGTGCGTGTGTCAGCGCTGATCTCGCGACGGCTGGGGGCAAACACCACTGCAGAGCAGAACCGGACCCTGGGTCCAGTTCTCGGACCCAATGCTGTCCCGTTCACAGGTGTGCATGGGGCCGGGTGCTTCCATACGGTGAGTTCTGCGGGTTCAGCGACGTGTGTTAAAAACAGAGAGAGAGAGACAGAGGGAAATGAGACAGTGGTGAATGTAGAAAGACACCTTTCATTCCGGAACGTGGAGGTCGCAGACAGGAAACCTCGGGTGAGACCCAGCTCGGCTCTGAGCTCAGGGTGGGCCCGCGGGGTGGGTGGCGAAGCAGCAGCTGGAAACCCACCAGAAGCAGCATCAGGGGTAAGTGGGATGCTGCCCAAACGGATGTCCCAGGACTCCTGCCGAAGGCAGAGCGGGGTGATCAGACGTGACCTGGGGAGGCGGGCAGTGAGAAACCCCTTCAGGTCTCCAGGTGAGCAGATATCTAGCTGACTAAATACCCAGGTGAGCAGATATCCAAGTGACCAGATATCCAGGAGACTAGCTCTCCAGGTGAGCATATATCTAGCTGACTAAATACACAGGCGACCAGATATCCAGGAGACTAGCTCTCCAGGTGAGCAGATATCTAGCTGACTAAATACCCAGGTGAGCAGATATCCAGGAGACTAGCTCTCCAGGTGAGCAGATATCCAGATATCCAGGTGGCCACATACTGAGAGTCAGCAGTTGTCAGGTTTTTGGTAAAACTGCGTGATGCAGGGATGAATCCGGAAGCCCGAAGGTCAGGCCTACTTGAGAGAAAGAGCGCAGGGGTGCCTGCTAGAGTCTGGTGGAGGAGACAAACTGTAGAGTCCTCTCCCCGTCCTTGTCAATGCCCTGCCTGGGTCTCGTGGGGCCACAGTAACAAATCACCCCAAACCGGTGCCTGACACGGTGACTGCAATGAGGACGAGGGGGTTCTGGGGGCGGGTCCTGCCCTGGAGCCTGGGGGGTGGGGCTGTGAGGGAACCAGTTTGTGTTTTCCAAGCCCCCGTCCGTGGGCCTCCGGGTGGTCTCCCCAGACATGTCTGCACGCACCTGGATGGACAAAGCGGTAACGTTCAGCCCTCAGCGCCGATCCTGACCGTGGCCCGCGGTGCTGACGTCCCTCTAGCTCACCTGCCCAGCGTCAGTCGTGCACCCCAGGTACCCGCCTCCCCGGGGGGACCCTGTGTCCTGCCCTCCGCTGGGCTCTGATTCAGGGGGACGTGGCCGTTTTCCAGCAGGAGGTGTGCCCGGAGGCCACAGAGCCCGGGGACACGGGAGGTGATGGGACCTCTGCCGTATGTGTCCTAATTTCACCCGCGGGCGACTCAAGCCGAGCCCTGCGGGGGGGGGGGGGGGGGGGGGGGGGGTCCCTGCAGGTGGAGGGCGATGCTGACCTCCCGGCCCCGTAGAACGCCTCCCCAAAGCCAGGATTTATCAGCCGTCGCTGTGTCCCGAACACGAGTTTGGAGAGGCACCCCCCGCCCCCCACGTGCACCCCACGACGAGCCCTCGGGTTTGCGCTCAGGGTGCATGTTTACTCAGCCCAGCAGCCCTCGGCCTCGTTTGAATCCTACATGCCGCGTGCAGCCTGGGAACCGTCAGAAGGAACGCGGATGTTGCACACAAGAGCCGTGACTCACAGATGCTATCTCTCCCCTTTGCATCTCGCTCACAAACGTCCCCTGCCCCACGCGGTCCCCGCCCCCACATGGTGCTTATCACGATCAATGGCAGAGATAACAGGGGAGAGCTGACGATGCCCCCTTGCCCCCCTTTGCACTGGAAAAGGAAGACGGGTGCCCCCCCCTCGACGTCCCAGACGCACGGAGAGACTCCGCTCTCTGAACAGGGCTGGCCCACCAGCCTTGGGAACGGCCGGACCTTCGAGGAAAGGGAGGAGCCCTGCTGCTGGCTGTCTGGCCGGGGCTGCGCTGTGTGACCTCAGGCGGTGTCTGAGCCTCTCTGAGCCTTCGTGTCTGGTGTCTCC